TATCTATCTATCTATCTATCTATCTATCTATCTATCTATCTATCTATATATGTGTGTGTGTGTGTGTGTGTGTGTGTGTATGTGTGTGTGTGTGTGTGTAATAATATAGGTCTTTAGATGGGGGGGAGGGAGAAGAATTTGTGTGTATGTATATGAGTATATGTGCATTTGTGTAAGGAATCTAACAGAAGGAAAGTTTATAAATACGAATAAATTGTGCATGTGTCCATGTGTGTGAAGGGACTGTTGCTGGTAGCTATGTGTGCATATATTAAAATATATGCTTTCAAAGGCCTTGTCTGGCATCTGTTTTGTTCTTGTATAATTGCTTAAAGTATATTAGCAACTTCCCTTACCTATGAAGGCAGAATCAGATTTTGGTTCTTGAATGAAAAGAAAACATTTAATGGAATAACCATTTTATACCTGAGCAGCAAGTCTTCGCATAGCTTCTTCTTGGCGTCTGCGCATTTCTGGAGTTCCAGGACAACTCCCACTGGTAATGGACGGGTGGGCAGAGGGTTGCTGAGTAAGGGAAAGTTCTCGATTTGCATCAATGTCTGCAATGTAGTTGAATAGGAACAGATTAGAGTTTATTGGGTCTGTTAAGGATACAGAGTTGAATGGCAATGCTTGTGATTAAATTCAGTGAAGGATGGGAGGGCAGAAAATCCTAAACTTATTCAACATATATGGATAGAAATATGAATTAGCATAAGGAATCATGTAAGTTTTAAAGAAGAGATTGGACATCCATTTGTTTGGAATGCTACAGGGTCCCCTACTCCTGCTTGAGCAATGAGTTTGACCAGAACTCAAGGTCCCTTCCTACTCTGTTACTTTGTTATTCTGAATTGTGAAGAAAGAATTTGTTCTGGATTCTTCTTCCATAACTCGTATTTTAAAAGATTAGTTTCTGAAAGGTCACGTAGCATTTAATTACTCTGAATGATTTTTTAAAAAAATACTATTTTGTAAACTTTTATTTTAGATAGCAAAAGAAAAACAAATTATATTAATAGATTTTTTAAAATGCATTTCAAAATAAAAGTCTATTTAAAGTAATACAAAGAAAGAACAAATTCTCCTGATACAAGCCAAAAGCAAGAAGTAAAAATAGAAACATAGAAGGGAGATGATGCAAATCAAAATACTGTTACATAAAATCAGGACAGATTACAATGCTGACACAGCCTGCTATAAATGAAATAATACTTATCCCTAAAGCCTTATTATTTGAATAGTAATGTTGTCCATAATTTTCTATAACTGTTACCAAACTGTTTTATAAAACTGTAGATTAAACAAATCAAAGTGACATCCATCATCCAACCCACACACACACACACACACACACACACACACACACACACACTCATCCCAGCGTGACCAGGACATAGTCCAACCTTCTAATGTGATCAATACCCAGTCCAAAACATGGCAGATTACTTTTTACTCCAATCATTCCTTCAATCTCTGATCCCGTCCAACCTGTTCTCTGGACTCAGAATTGTCAAACCAGTCTCAAAACCTTATCTCCAACACTTGGCTCATGGGCCTGACAATGCAACAAATGCAACCATAGTTGTTGTTGATGAAGTGGCCAGAGTAGCTTGTAGCACACAGTCCCAAAACAGCTGAAAAGCTGAATCCAAATCCAAATCCAAATCCAAATCCAAATCCAGTCCAGATTTTACTAAAAATATTAAAATTAAAAAATAATCCAGCCATACCACCAAGGTCATGTAGCATTAATCTCCACCATCTTACCAATTTACATTCTTGTGTATTTCATATAACTTAATAAGTCTCCTAAGGCAGGATCCCCAAACCCTGGGCAGACCCATTACCGGGGCTGTGGCCAGTTTGAAAGTGAGCCATGTGAATAGCAGGCCGGCACTGTGCACAGCTCTACTTGCACACGTGCAGGCCGGCATATGTGCATGCATCCACCAGCCCACTCCAGAACTGATCCACCAGATCAGTTCTCCTCTGCCCCACTCCCGCCAGGCCACCAAGCCATAAAGGTTGGGGATTGCTGTTCTAAGGCATGAACTTTTCACAGAGTATTCCTTTGAAAAAGAGATTTCAAAAAGAACAACTCTGTATTTAGGGGTGGCTACTATGATTTCCTTGAATTTATCCTCATTGTGTAAGCTTGGCACTTAACTGTTTCAATTAAATTAATTTACCACCATGCACAGCCATAAATGAACTGTTGCACACACTTATTTCAACTTGCACTGCAATAAAACCAAAGTTAAAATATTTTCTGAAAATATGAATACGAAGTTCACATAGTAGAGAACTGGAAAATGAATAGTTCTAATACAGAGGATTATTTTACATTTTCAAGTATTATTGTCTCATTTTTTTTAATGCAAGAATACTTTTTCATATAATATGCAATTTTTAGATAGGAACGTAATGGTTCACTTACGTTTTGGGGATGCATGGGGGCTGTCCGAAGCAATCTGCCTCATCCGTGTGCCATGACAACTCAGTGCAACCAGCCTAGAAATGATTGCTGTCTTGCCAAAGCCAATATTTCCAACTATCACCACACCTCTGTTCACATTGGCATCAGTACTCTGTAAATGTACATCAATCTCCTGGAACACCCAATCCCGGCCAACAAACACAGACTCTGTGGTGATGCTAGGTACCTCAAAAAGCAGTGGTTTCAAAGAGATGTCAGGAGGTCTGTAAGGCGCAAAACGAACTGGAAAGGAATAAAGAAGACATTCAGCATTCCATAACAAGTTACTAGCTAGGGAAGTATAACACTTCTTGTCTCAAAAGGAAATTGGACTGTTTTATTTTTTCTTGAAGAAGAACAAAAACCAAGTCCAGTTGCCTTTTGAAAAAACACTTTTGTGATAATTATGTTTTGAGAATCTCCACAGACATATAGTTTCTTCTTCTATACATTATATAATTTTCAAATGCATATTCCTAGAGAAAACCTATGTGGTCCCTGATAGTTGATACTGACTCGATGGCTTACAATCTATCAGTTCTATTACTATCATTTGATTTTATTAACTGTGATAATGCTGTTTTATTTAGATGTAAAAAATAAGAAAGTGAAAGAAGGCTAAAAATAATATATTTTGAAAATATTGCTTTAGTCCTTTAAGTTTCTTATTTAATCTTTTTTCAATCAGAGATTAAAGGTAGGAATGTGGAAATTCCCCTAATATAATTTTGTAAATTCAATATATAGATTGTAGTGTTTTACTACAAAATACTAAAAATTAGCACATGAATAAATTTGTTCTTGCTGCAGCTTTCCACTTATTTTAGAGTTTAATATGAAATAGTTCTTATAAGAGTTTTAATACATTGAATCATTCACTGCATTTCTTAAAAACAGCAGGAATTCATTGTGGTAACAACCTTAGTCTTTTTTTAATTAATGGAAAATGTAAGAAAATGCTCCTTTTCTGCATTAGAGAAATGAATTTATTCATTTTATTATTTGATAATTCACAATATTATTTACAAATACTAATGTTCTAAATAACGCCAGCTTGTAACTTGACTCATGTTTATAATGAAAGCTGGGAAGAATATTGTTTTATCCTCCCAGACTCACCATTACTAATTGAAAATGCTGGAATTTGGTATGTCTAGCTTAATGAAAAGAAGGATTGGGGTGACATGATAGCAGTGTTCCAATATCTCAGGGGCTGCCACAAAGAAGCGGGGGTCAACCTATTCTTCAGAGTACCTGAGGGTAGGACAAGAAACAATGGTGGAAACTAATCAAGGAGAGAAGCAACCTAGAACAAAGGAGAAATTTCCTGACAGTTAGAACAATTGTTAGAACTTGCCTCCAGAAGTTGTGAATGTTCCAACACTGGAAGTTTTTAAGAAGAGATTAACCATTCAATATTTGTATGAAATGGTATAGGGTTTCCTGCCTGAGAAGAGGGTTGGACTAGAAGACTCAAGGTTCCTTCCAACTATTCTATTCTATTCTATTCTATTCTATTCTATTCTATTCTATTCTATTCTATTCTATTCTATTCTACTCTACTCTACTTCTACTTCTACTTCTACTTCTACTTCTACTTCTATTCTCTGTTATTACAGATCAAATCCAACAAGAAAAGGATATTTGAAATGAATGCACCAGTTCTGGAAAGAACAACATTCAGAATCCCTCTTGTCTGCTTCAGAAAGAACAAAGTCCTTTAACTAAAGAAGTAAAAGAATAGAAACAAAGAATAACTGAGTATCTAGAACAGGACAAAAACATCAGAATAAGGCTGCCTGCATTGAAGCTTTTTCCAAAGAAACAGCTAGCAGAAGCATTAAAAGATGAAAATACTGCAATATCAAATATAAGCTCCAACTCATTGCAAGAAAGAAAACCAATTAATGTACAGCACACTGCAATTATAATTGAATAACTGGGAGAAGAAGAAAAAACCAAACAGTGCGCCACCAAAATGAAAAATTAGACTGGAAAATAAGATCAGATGCAAACAAGCTAGAACATATGAAAGAAAAGAAGCTGAAGAACAAAAAGACCAAAGAATATCAACTCAAGAAATACTACTTAGAAACAAGGAAGATTAAGCAAGCTCTGTAAATAATAAAGCAGCAAATAACAGCTATAGCTAAGAGAATCAGCAGATAAAAAGTTAGGCCGAAACTCTAATTTCAATCCAATCAGAAATGTTTCTACCTATCCATCAATGGAGAAACTGCAATGAATTAGTCAGTACCTGACAAGGAAGAAACAGTGCAGTTCTGGGTGCAGATATGGGATAACCCAAAGAAATACAACAAGGATGTAGAATAAAGTTTAAAGGAGGTGGATAAGAATAAAAAAGAAGCTGAAATGAAAGAACTAGTAATAACAGCAGAAATGGTAGAGAAAGGAGCAAGGAAGATCAACGATTGGTTAGCACCAGGTGAAGATGAACTGCATGGTTTTTAGCTGAAACATCTAATTGGTCTATACTCACTTATTACTAAGCAGTTTTACAACATACTATAAGGAGCTGAAATTGAAGAGTGGCCAACATCTGGCAGAACCTATCTGATAATGAAAGATCCAGCAAAAGGAGCAGCACCAGGCAACTACAGGTCAATTACCTGCTTACTAACAACTTTCAAATTGTTAACTGGTGTGGTAGCTGATGCAATCCAACAGCATCTAATTCAGGGGTGTCAAACTTGCATCATCATATCATTGTCATGTGACATGACGTATCGTTACTTTTCCCCCTTCGCTGAGTCCTTCGGGAGAAGGGCGGTATAGAAATTTAATAAAATAAAATAAAATAAATAAAATAAACCAGGCATAGACATGGTCAGCGTGTGGCACATCTGGTCCAAGAGCCGTGAGTTTGACACCCCTGATCTAATTGAAAACAATCTCTTTCCATCTGAGCAGAAAGGAAACTTCCCCAATAGCAGAGGAACAAAAGATCAACTCCCAATTGACAAGATTATTTTGGAAAACTGCAAGAGAAGGAAGACCAGCCTGAATGTAGCATGGATTGACTACAAAAAGGCATTCAAATCTCTGCCGCATGACTGGATAAACAAGTGACTAGAAACAACTGGAATCAATAGAAACACCAGAAGTTTTGTGCAAAGATTGATGACACAATGGAAGACATAGTTGTAGGTCAATGGGAGAGGTTAATATCAAGACAGGAATATTTTAAGAAGATTCACTAACATCACTACTATTTGTCATTGCACTGATTCCTCTGTCTACAGTACTGAATAACTCAGACCAAGACTATCAAATATCAAAAAAACCCTGCCAGATTATCCTACCTCCTTTACATGGACGATCTGAAGCTGTTTGGAAAAACACCATTTGAAATAGAATCACTGCTCAACACTATCCATATATATATAGCCAAGATGTTACAATGGAGTTTGGCGTGAACAAATGTGCCACATTCACCATCAAACATAGAAAAATAGTGAAAATTGAAGGAATCAAGATGCCTTATGAAAATAATATTGAGAGTCTGGATGAAGATGATAACTACAAAAAAACAAGATATCCTTCAAGCTGACAACATCAAGCACACTGAAGTCAAGAAAAAGATTAGAGATGAATATATCAAGAGAGTAAAGAAGATCTTAAAGTTCAAACTCAATGGAAGAAATACCATCAAGGCAATCAACTCCTGGGCAATTCTAGTCATTAGATATACAGCTGAAATAGTTGACTATGTCAGCATTCCAGAAAACCCGCCAACTCCAAGTAATATGGCTTCCAAAGCTGATAGACTGGTCTCAAGCAGAACTAAAAGCCATGGATAGGAATAGCAAAAAAATGACAATGAATCATGCCCTTCATCTTTGCAGGAATATTGCAAGTACATCAGATAGTTGAAGACAAAAAATGACTTTGGAAGGATATTTGAAGGACAATGAAAAAGATGCACTGAAACGGACGTTGCTTACCTGAACGTCCCTTCTCGACGCGCAGCTGGAGAATCCAAAGCTTCGGGTAGTTCAGTAGTTGGGTAGCCTACACTGAGTGTGTTCCTTTAAGAGATTTCTCTTCAGACACGCCCACTTGCTCAACAGAGTCCCAGTTTTGTTCACGAAGTAAGTATCAGTAGAGCGTAAGGAAGAATGTACAGCAGCCCAGCCAGGTGGGTTGGATTCTCCAGCTGTGCGTCGAGAAGGGACGTTCAGGTAAGCAACTTCCGTTCTCCAACGCGCAGTTTGGAGAATCCAAAGCTTCGGGATTTACCCAAGCAAGTTCAGACAGGGGGGGAAGGTGGCTGCTGCACGTCGTCTGAAGAGTTGCATACAGCTTGGAGCACCCGGCGGCCAAAGGATGCGTCCGCCGAGGCAAAGGAGTCCACCTTGTAGTGCCTGATGAAGGGATTGAAGGATGACCAGGTAGCCGCTCTGCAGATGTCGGAGATGGAGGCATTGGTGGCCCAGGCGGCCGTGGTGGCTGCGCTCCTGGTAGAATGTGGAAGGATCCTCTGCGGAACTGGTCTGTTACGAGCCGAATAAGCCTTGGAGATGCAGGATTTAATCCATCTCCCAATTGTTGTGGAAGAAACCTTCCGGCCCATGGAGGCCGGCAGAAAGGAAATGAAGAGCGATTCAGATTTTCGGAAATGCTCCGTTCGCTTAATATATCTGCGTAGAGCCCGTCGGACATCTAGGAAGTGCCAGTTTGCTTCCCGAGGATGTCGAGGTTCCGGGCAGAAGTCCGGTAGGATTAATTCCTGGGCCCGATGGAATGAGGAATTTACTTTAGGCAGAAATGAAGGGTCTAGTCTTAGTACCACACGATTTGTGTGGAAGACACAGAGGTCGTTCCTTACGGACAAGGCCGCTAATTCGGATATACGGCGGGCAGAAGTAATTGCGACCAGAAACGCCACCTTGAGTGTCAGAAAGTGGAGGCTGATGGAAGTGAGTGGCTCAAAAGGGGGATGCATGAGGGCCTGAAGGACCAGGGTCAAATCCCAGGTCGGGTAGCGATGAATAACTGGTGGATGCAGGTTGGCTGCTCCTCGAAGAAAGTCGCGAATCGTCGGATCCTGCGAGAGAGGGAGGGTTGCGGAGGCGGAAAGGACAGTACTCAGTGCAGCGACCTGGCGACGAAGAGTGTTAGGCGCGAGGTGCTTGTCCAGACCTTCCTGGAGGAATCCCAACACTTCAGGAACGGACGCGGACGTTGGGTCCAGGTGGGATTTGGCACACCAGGAACAAAAG